TTCTACTCATGTTTTATGGAAGGCATTTCAATCCAATGTTCAAAGAACTTTTTAAAGATATTTATCATTTCGAATAATGTCCCGATGAGGTCAACCCTTTGTGGGGCAAGTGACCATATTTGGTAACTTCCTTGGATGTTCAGTATGTCCACCCTGTGCCTCTCCTTGAGATTGAAGGGTCATGTGCACTTTGATTTAGTTTTTACATTAGTTTTTCTGCTAGATGTGTATATTCTTGTATATATTTATCTTATCTTATTTTTTTTGATAGTGCCAATATCACTACCTTACAAAAAATGCCACTAAACAAATGCTCCAGGCACTTTATTAACGCGTTGTTACTGGTTTGCACTGAACTCCACTCTGATTTATTTTTTGAGATTAGTGCCAAAACCACCAGCCCAAGAAAAATGTTACCAAATGAACTTGCCAAGCACTTTATAAATACTTTGTTACTGGTTGTGTACGTACCATTACCTTAAACTAAAATATTTCTAAATAAATCCACCCATCCATTATCTGTACACCGCTAAATCCTCACTAGGGTCATGGGGGCCAGAGTCTATCCCAGCTGACTCAGGGTGAAGGCAGGGGACACCCTGGACAGGTCACCAGTCTATCACAGGGCTACACTTAGAGACAGACAACCAAGCACACTCACATTCACACCTACGGACAATTTAGAATCACCGATTAACCTCAACATGTTTTTGGACTGTGGGAGGAAGCTGGACCCACGCTGCACGGGGAGAACATGCAAACTCCACGCATAAAGATCCTCACCGGGACGTGAACCAGCGACCTTCTAGCTGCGAGGTGCTAACCACCTTGCAGCCCTTGATATCTTGAAATATCCTTCAAAAACACACTAGGGTTGGATTTTTAATGTTCCAAGTATTTCAAGGAGTGGCCCCTAAAAGGTTACAAGTGAACTATGACAGAACGTTTAACTTTTAGGGGATGCTGTCGGAATACGTTGCATGATAACGGAAAAATAACCAACATTCAGTAAATGTTGGTTATTTTTCTGAATGAACCTTCAATAACAACACGCTTGTTACTGAAGGCTGTTGTGAGGATGTTGCTGTTCTTCAATAAAACGTTCCACAACGTTACAAGATCGCAAAAATACGGACGTTCTCAATGCAACATTTTGAAACTGTTAAAAGAGCATTGCCATTAGGAAGAACATTCTGTGAAAGAAATTACTACTTTCAGCTGAAAACATTACTAGAACTTTGCTTAACTTCCTTGTTTTTAGAGCAAAAATAGAAAAAGAACATCTAGTTGAGTTGAGTTGATGTTTTTGTTCACAACAATAAAAGCATGAACATTTCATACAGACACATTTCTGGTTCTAGCTTGTATTTCTACATGAACGTACATGAAAAGGTGAGCTTGTTTATCATCTCGTGTGTATGTGTGAAAATAAGCGGCAGAAGAATTGTTTTAACACCCTCGTCACGAGTTGGAATGAGTAAGCCTGCACACAAACAAACCAACACAGAAGCCCACATGTTGACACCTTGCTACTCGTATCTAGCTTTGGTTGATGGGATGCTGCCAGAGCTGTCCTCTTCCCTTAAGAGGATGAACTCATTAGACGGAGAGGTGAGGGAGATAGAAATAAGAGCACCAACACACAGTTTTATTTGTCTCCTTAGAACGTCTCCGTCTAGTTAACATTGATTTTCTCTTCTTCTTCTTCTACTTGGCATCCGTCTGTGGGTTTTCCTCTCGCCGTTTTCTTCTGCCCCGACGCTTTTCCTCCCCGTTTTGTCTTCTCTTTGCTCTTCCTCGCTTCTGTTTTGTTCCCCTCATTTGTAAAAGGGCCAACCGTCTGCGTTCATCAAACGGGAGGAGGCTTCATTGCGAGGAGCGCGCCATCAAATATGTATATCCTTGTATTTCTTTGATCGTAATCATCGTTTAATGTTTCAGGCAAGCTGTGTTGTTGGCTTCCACACGAAAGCACGGAGGAGCTCTTGATTTTATCCTCTGTTTTCCTTAATGCAAAGGTCCCCCCGGTGCTCTTGGTCTGTTTGCCGTGGATGGTTGATGTCCTTCCCTTTATTTTCTGCCAGTTTTTATTCCAGTTTTTCTTTAACTCTCCCAATGTATGTTTCTCTTTGGCTCCATTTTTTTTTTCTTTTGTTGCCCAATTTGGACCTTGTTGTGCCGTCTCCTTCTGTTAATCTTTCATCCGTTTCTCAGCCTCTCGTCTTTCATGACCGTCTTATTTCTCCTTCCTCGTGCGTTCATCTCCAGGGATGAGTTCTCATTGTAGCAGACGTTAGAGGTGGTTTTGGGAAGAGAACTTTTACAGGTTACCCAGTTTAGCAAGCCAAGGTTTCGTCCTTCATTCCAAACACAGTGCAGCTTCGGTAAGATGGGCGCCATGGCGGCTGTAACCCTCTGCAGCTGGAAACTGTTCCTGAAACGCTCCATGTAATAATATTAATGTTTTAATGGATTTTTATAGCCTAATATAATGCTGGCTCTCATTATAAGACAATAAAAGGTAATAAGTTTTACTAATGCGTACGCTGTAGTTGCCTCACTTCCGTGGAATGGAGGAGTGAAATTCTAATTAGTTTTGTCGTGTGCCTTTATTGAGATAACTCCCTTTCAGGGTGCTTTCACACCCAGTGTGTTTGGAAAGGTTTAGTTACACAGTGAAGGCGTTTTCTTTTCTTTCTTTCTTTCTTTCTTTCTTGGATGGCTGTTAGCAGGTGTGAGGAATGTCATTTGGGGTATGAAAAAAATGGCAATGATGACAATTATGTTTCAAGTCAATTTTCAAGGCGACTGGGGTGCAGAAAGCATGACTGAAAAAACAAATGATTCTATAATGGCCTGGACAGACACAACCATGTGCTTCTACCTCAATGAGGACAAGGAAGGAGTCTGATGCTATGGTCCTCTACCAGAAAGCACTGGACAGCCATCGTCAAGGGAAAAAGAGAGTCCTAAGTGAAGATGTGTGCTGGGATCTTGTTGGGAGTGAGGGCATGATGGAGATTGACAGGCAGATTGGTGCCATGTCAGCTGTGGTGTAGATGGATGGATGGCTGGCTGGCTGGCTGGCTGGCTGGCTGGATGGATGGATGGATGGATGGACGGACGGACGGACGGACGGACGAACGGATGGATGGCTTTTCTTGCCATCATCCATTAATCTAACCGCCAAA